CAGGGCAGGCAGCCCCCACACACGCCAGGGCTGGGAGGAAGGAGGCAACAAGTATAAAGCAGTGATGCTGGGGCATCCCGGGGGGGGCTCACCCACACCCAGGCAGCACCGCTCAGGATCATGCTGCTGCAGAGCACCTAGAGCTGTGCCCCCAGCAGCTAATCCCCTGGGTTGGGCTCAGCCAGCAGGGAGGGAAGAGCTGCGGCAGCTCCGTTCCCACTAGCACCATCCCCATGGCTGGAAAGCAAACAGCCACCCAGGGTGACACAGTTCCCCCCTCCCCAAATCCCCATAGGTGCTATTCTGGAAGGCCAGAGGCCAGCCTGCTGCCTCCACCCCTCTCCTGGCCACAGCTTGGCCCCGCTGGCCGACACCACCAGGACTCGCCCCTCGCCCACCAGCATCCCCCAGCCTCCTCCCGAGCCGTGGCGGCCGCTCCCTGGCCCCTTGGCCAAGTGGTGGCAGTGGGGCACGGGCAGGTATTTGGAGGGGAAGATTCTCACCATCGCTCCCGGGGGGGTGAAAATGGGCTACGACTTTTTGGTTTTTACCAGCCCCTTCTGGACCAGGCAGCGATAGAATTCCTGAATGTATGTGTACACACACTTCCAATCCGGCTCGCGCATCCGGACCATGTCCTCCACGTCCAGCAACTGCGGACAGTCCGCGTGCTTCCTGGGGGCAGGGAGAGAGAGGGGCAAGCCAGTGACCGCAGCCCAGTCGGGGAGGGGAGAAAGAGAGAAAACAAGAGACACGGATCAGTGCAGTTCCCGTCCCTCCCCCAGCAGATGCTGCTCTGCTCTCACATGCTCTGGGGGTGCACGATGCAGGGGCAGGAGGGCTCTGGGCACTGCCGCGCCAAGGCCATTCAGTGAAATTTAGGGGGGCACAAGCAAGGGAGGGGGAGGGCAGGTGAGTGGCGTGGAGAGGCGTGAGGTCCAGAGGGAAGGACAGATGGAGGCAGAGGAGGAGGAGGAGGAGTGAGGTGGTCTGGCACGCCAGGTGCTCGGGGAGCAAGTTCCAGAGCGGAGTGGCGCTCTATATAGCCCCTATATAGACCCGCCGGGAGGATGGGGGGGCGAGCCCAGCCCTCCTGCCCAGCTCCGCTTGGAACTGCACGGCACAGCCCTGGTGCAGGAAGCTCGGGAGAAGACGCTCACAAGAGCTGGAGGAGGAGGAGGAAGAAGGACGAGAGGCCACCTGGCTTCCAGGCTGGAGAGATCGATGGCTCTCTCAAGTCCACGCACCGGTTCTCCAATTAAGGCAAAAAGTCCATTACCAGGAGCGCCAAGAGCCAGGCACACGGCCCCTTTCTCACTCCACCGAACAGCACCACGGCACCCAGGGAGCTTGCGGGAGCTCCCAGCTCACGCCACCGCCCCAGGCAACAGCCGGGATTGGACCCCCACACACCTGGCCCTGCCCCTGGGCAGGGTGCTGGAGGGGAGGAGGAGAGGGTGGGAGAGAGACAGAAGGAAGGAGAGAGGGGCTGGCTGCCAGCCCTCCAGCTGGACGCGCTCCCGTCTCTCAGCACCCAGGAAAACCAGAAGCAAAAGGGGAAGGGAAGAGACTGGAGAAGCTGCGACGGTGTTTGAGCCCCTACGACCGTGAAAGGAGGCACCTGGCACAGACAAACCCCTCTTCCCAGGGGCTCTGGTCCCACACCCGGCACCCCAGGATACGATGTACTTACTACCTGCAGCCAGGCAGGCTTGGGGGGCTGCTGCCCTGACTTTGGGTGCTCTGCCCCACACCCAGGAAAGCCCAGACCCCTACACCCACCCTCGCCACGCCAGACTGGGCTGTGCTGGCCTCTCGTGGCTCTGTCCACACAGCCACTGCTTTCCCCTCCCAGTGTCCAAACCTTGTTGCACAGCACGAGGGGAGCGATGCTGACAGGCACTCACCTCCAGCACCATCACCCCTGCCCATGTCCCCCCTCACCCCAGGCAGTGAGCAGGAGAGCTGCCTTGAGCCACCCCAAGCCCATGTGATGGCACAAGAGCTACGTACTCTGCGGAGGAGAAGGCCACCTCGAAGTTGTGGCGGCGGTTCTGGGGCGTCAGCTGGCTGTAGTCAAACGCCTCGGGGAAGAAGTTGTGGACCAAGGCACAGAAGGCCATGCCATCACTCCAGCTGGACGAGAAGTTCTGGATGTCCACGTGCTGCGAGGGCAGGAGAGTTACCAAGGGGTAGAACGACCAGCCCTGGGGATGAGGAGAGGAGGTGGCACTCACCTCGTAGCCCCGGGTCTTGGCTCTACACCAGTCCAGCAACATCTGCTTGACGCTGTTGGCATTGGGCACGCCGAAGCTGGAGGAGCGCTGAACGGCAGTGCGTGTCGCCACGGGGTTAGGTGAGCTGTGGCAGAAGACACAGAGTGTTACCCATGTGGCACTCACCACTCTGGCCAACGTGCCCCTGGCCCAGCCTCACCTCCCTCCCTCCTTCTGCAGCTTCTCCATCATGGCCTTGCGAGCCTGCGAGGCCGATGTCTTGGGCAGGCTCTGAGCTTTCATCAGCTCCTTCTTCTTCTCAGCCTGGCGCCGCTCCAGCGCGGCCAGGCTGCTCTGCCTGGAGGCACTCTCATCTTCACGGTCGAAGATGCTGGGAGAGAGACAGATGAAACTAAGGGGGCTGCATGCAGCCTGGGGAAGGGCACGTGGTGGCCTCAGCCCACTGGCAGCCCTAGAGCTTTGGAGACCTCCATGTCCCTGGGACAGCAGAGGGGGTCTCAAGGTCCCCGGCTGGCAGACACGTCTCTGTGCCCATGGAGGGACCCATGGGGACTGCTAGAGACAGCAAGCATGCCCCAAGGACCAGGAGGCTTTGGGGACATCCCTGCATGGGGACACTGGAAGCTAAGCAGAGAGGGTTTGTGCAAGCAGATGGCTGACAGGGACTGCTTGGGGCTGGCCCCAGGGAAGCACTACCGCTCACCTGCCCATCTTCTTGGAAGAGGAGCTGTAGGATGATTTGGTTTGAACGAATGTACTGTTCCCATCTGCAGAGAGAGAAAGAGAGGCCTTGGGCAGGAGCTGAGGGAAGCAGTGGCAGGCAGGTGGGGGGCTCTGCCCGCACCACAGGCAGGGATAGCTCAGCAGCAGCAATGCCCCTGGGGTTACGCCCAGAGGATGCTGCAAGGAAAGGGCAGCAAAAGCTCTTACTGTCCGATCTCTTCATGTAACTCGACTCCATGGTTGTGGTACAGGAGGTCTTGCTGCCATCACCTGCAAGGGGGCAAGGCAATGGGGGATCAGGTGGGGCTGGGGGCAGTGGCACCCACAGACACCCACTGCTGCCAAGCACCCTCACATCCATGTAGCACAACAGGGAGAAGTCCCAGGTGACAGAGCCATGGCCAGGGCATGCAGAGGGGGGACAGACAGCACATGCCTCCGAGGCACAGCAAAGAGGCCAGCGCGAAGGAGCGGCGAGCTGGAGCATCCCTCAGCCCCCTGCAGCGACTCTTGGCTTGAGCCATCCAGGGACTAGAAAAGCAGAGGTGTAGTGGACAGGAGACAGGCCTGACATGCAGACAAGGCCCCCGCGACCCCAATGGGGCAGAGGATTGGGTGGGAAGTCACCAGAGCAGATCCCTTAAAGATCCCCAGGGAGGCTCTGGGCAAGCCAGAAAAGATGCAGCAAAACAGCCCTGAACCACGGTTCTGCTCCCAGCATGATCAAGCCAGACCCAGGAAAAGTGGTGAGAGTCGCAAAGAGAAGCTGTGGTGGCAGAGCACCAGGAAAGACTCTGCATTGCCTCCCAAAAGGCTGGCACACCAGCCATGCTGGGCAAGCGAGCCCTGCACCCCCCCAGCCCACCCCGTACTAGACTGGACGAGACGCTCGGTCTTGGTGACGGTGCTGCGTGCTGAGCCATCGGCTGACTGGGTGCTCTGCGTGGTGGTGGTCTCCGTGGCGTGGCCGGCCCTCCCTGCCGTAGCTTGGCTCCTTGTGTCCTGCAGCCGCTGGTCCCGCTCTCTCTCCCGCTGGTCTGCAAATGCAGGTGGGAGACAGCATCAGCAGTGAGAGGCAGGGGCAGCAGGCACACAAGTCCAGAACCAGCTCACAGGAAGGACGATGTCCTTCAGCCTGGCACAGCCAGGGGTGCAGCAGGAGACCCAATGCACCCTCCTGCTTCACCACAGCTGGACAGCCCCGCTCCAGCACCCTGCTGGCTCCACCTGCAATACCACTGTCAGAGCCCTGACCCCTGTGGAGGTCACCGTCCTCAAGTACCTCGCTTGCGCTGGCGCAGCTCCCGCATGGCGTTTCGGATCAGTCGCCGCTCCTCAAAGTCCGTCGTCCGATCCAGCTGCAGGAGGAGGTAGAGGTCAGCATCAGCCCTCTGCCACCAGGTCGGAGTCCCCTTGCCTTCCCCCAGGAGCCTGGCAGCAGAGGAGATACCATCTTATCCAGAACATCCTCATCCTCGATCCTGTTCAGTTCCTCGATGTTCAGCTTGCTCCTTCTCTCTAGCTCCCTCACTTGGACCTTCTCCATGCCGTTGGGCAGCTCCGGCTCCAGCCGTGGCGCCTGGGGCTGCTCCACCACCTCCGGCTCCATCTACAAGGACAGCACCTTGTGACTGACCCCTGCCAGCTCGGCCATGTCCCCCCTGCCACCACTGCTCAGGATCCAAGTCCCCCATCGCCCTGACACTTGCCCAGTGCCACAGGCAGCGGTGATCCTGAAGAAGACGTGCCACATGCGACGTAAGAGCTCACAGCTGGTGGGACGCCGCAGGCATCTGCGGCAACCAAGGCAGGCAGGGGAGCACGACATCCCCTCCGTGGCACCCCCTGCCCCGGGAGGGCCCAGCAGTCTCTGACCTGCTCCCAGTCTGGCTGCCAAAATGTCCCCCAAATATTCCCCACCCCCCATCACCACAGGCTGCCAGGGCCCTCCAGCAGGCAGGGGCTGCCTGGGCAGTCCAGGCTGGGCAGTGCCTGGTGCCCAGCAGTGGTCAAGGTGCTGGCAAGGCCAGTGAGCACCATTAGCAGCACAAGGGATTTCCAGGGAATTAAGGGACTTAGCGGAGAGAAGAGCTTGTGCAGGAGATCAAGAGCCTCCCCTGCATCCCTGCTCAGGATCTAGGCCAGCTCGGCCCCCGCCGGAGCAAAGCCAGGACGCCAAGTCCCTTTCAGCACGACCCCCCAGCAATGTGTAGCAGGCAGCGGGCCAGGCCAGGAATAGGGCAGGGAGGCAGCAGAGAGGAGGTGCCAGCGTGGGGGCCAGAGCAGCCCTGCTGCACACCTGGCCCCATCCTGCGTCCCGCTGCCCCGGCCCGGCACCTGGCCCATGGCAAAATCACTGGTGGGAGGTGACGCCAGCCACGTGCGCCTGTGCCACCACCTGCGCCTCGCCACTGCTGTGTGCAGGCGGTGGCAGCACAGCTGCCTGCAGCCTGCCTGCCTGGCCGGCATGGCAGTAATGCAGAGCAGGCAGGCGCTGTTTGCCCCACGCAGCAGTGAGCCCAAATGGTGGCAGATCCCAGTGACGCTGAGTCGCCTGTGCACCCCAGCCATAGTCCCACCTCGTGCCAGGGACTTTGCCTTGGCTCCAGACACCCCTGGGGCAGCCAGGAGCCCCGTGGGCTGGTGCCACCCTCCTGCCCCCCCCCCCCCCCGGTCCCCCCCCAGGCGCTGCCGTGGGGCAGGGCTGCCCACACTCACACCACTGTTGCTCCGGGAGAGATGTATGGCCGATTGCTGGCGCGTGCTGGAGAAAGCGGGCGGATGGGCCACAGGGCCGCTGGGCTCCTCAGTGCCCTCAAAGTGGGCGCAAGGGTCCTGTGCTTCCAGAAAGAGGGTGCTGAGGTCCTCCCCGGGGGGCTCCTGTGGCCCCAGCCGCAGTGCCAGCAGGTCGAGGCGGCGGCCCAGGCGTGCCAGCTCAGCCCGCAGCTCCAGGTGCTCCTCCTCCAACGCCCGCAGCGCCCGTGCCAGGGGGTGCACCTGCTGCAGCGCCTGCTCCAGCTGCCCCTCCACTGCTCCCCGGAAAGCCCCCAACTCCTGCCGCAGCTCCGCCAGCTCAGCCATCCCGGCCTGCGCCAGCCCCTCCAGGCTGACCCCTGGCATGGCGGCAGTGCTGGTGCCGGCAGGCGCTGCGGTGAGCCCCGCTCAGCTGTCCTCTGCCCTTTATAGGGGCGCCAGGGGCACCACCCCCGGCTGGAGGCCGGCCCGGCACAGCTCCTCGCCTGCTGGGCTATTCTTGTCGCAGCGGCCGGGGGTCCCGCACAGGGGTGCCGAGGCAGGCGCCAACACTTGGCAGCATTTCCAGCCCCGGGACCAGGTGGCTCGGTGAGGGGGAGCACTGCCGAGTCACCTCCCCAACCCTGGGCGGCTGCCACTGCCCTCGACGCCAGCCTGGGGGGGCTGTGGGGCACAGCAGGTGGGGTAGAGGCCCCATGCGGGATCAACCTCAGACCACCCCTGTGCTGGGTGTGCTCCAGGGCCAGGGACCACCCACAGGCCCTTTTACCCGAGTGCCCTCCTGCTCCTGGCTGACATCACCCACAACACACCGACATCTCCAGCCTGAGGCTGGTGCCGGTGTGAGGGACTCAATCACCAGCTGTGATTTTTGGGGGCCCCTGTCCCCCCATGCTGCCTGACAAATGCCCCAGGGGGAGCAGGTCCCTGCACAATGGGCACAGGCGGCACCCAACACACAAGAAGACATGCTGCAGCAGCCACTGTCCCCAGATCCCCATACCCTACCAGTCCCTCCGACCGAGCCCTACCTGGCAGGGCTGCCAGCACCGCTGCCGCTGCCGCCTCCTCCTCCCTGCTGGCTGGGAGCACACCTGGAGGCTGTGTCTCCTGCTTAGCAGCCGATGGGTCCCAAGCTCCCCACCCCACCAAGCAGCGCTGCTAATACCTTAATGAGAGCTGACGAGCTGCTCAGACCAAGCCTGCCCAAGCGCATTAGCACAGGGCAGGCACCCCTCTGCAGGCAGTGAGCTGCCTGTGGGCAGTGGGACCTGCCAGCTAGTGCAGGCAGCACTTGAGGGCAGCCCTGCCAGGCTGTGGGCACTGCCTGCTTTATGCTGGTGAGGGCTGAGCCGAGGACGGAATGAGCCAGCAGTGCCACGGCCACCAATGGTGCCATGGCCACCAGCAGTACCATGCCTGCAGAGGCAATTGGGCAAGCACAGGGCCAGGAGCAAGGCAGTGCTGCACTTGACATCCCAGGTCCTGCCAAGGCCACTTGCACAAGCGCCTTGTATTACCTTAGATGGCCAGAAGCAGATAAAAGCACTCGAAGGGCTGCACAGGCAGGGCTGCCTCCTGTGTGTACCCAGCCCCGCCACCCCCAGCATCCCGGGGCGGGGGGGAACACCATGTCCCACTCACCCCCCAAAACAGAGCAGAGGGATATATATATTTTTTTTTCCCCAGTAACACCCAAGAATCCCTCCTGGGCCCGGCGAGCTAGGGCTGCCGCTCCGCTGTCAGCTTGGGATTGCAAAGCAGGAGGAGGCAGGACACCAGCCCACGGCTCGAGGGTGGGTCAGAGACCCTCAGGGAGCCCCCCCCGGGCAGGCTCCCCAGCGCCACAGCCCAGGTCCATTCCCAGGAGGGAAAACAGAGGAGTGGGTGATGATGGGCTTTTCCCTGAGCTGCTGCCACCCTAAAAGGTGTTTAAAACAGAGGAAGACCCACAAAATGCTCCCAGCCCACCTCCCTCACACCCCCTCCCCGAGTGTCTGCATACACAGTGGCACAGTCCAGGGCGCAGGGGGCTCACATGGCTGGGACTGTGGGTCCATGTGTAGACCCCAGGATTTCTTTGTTAAAACAAAACCAAAAACCACACCAAAAAACAAACCAGCCAGAGCTTCTGGACCACGCTGCCAGCACCAACCCGCCCGCCCTGGTCACTGCTCCCCACCCCAAGCCCAGGACCCCCCAGGCCATGCCCAAGTGGGGCACTCACCTTGGTGACATTGCTGCTGCCGCTGCTTCCACTGCTCCTGCTGCTGGGGACGGTGGTGATGCGGATTGGGGTGCTCCGCAGCCCCACGGTCACCTCTGCAAGGGGAGCAAGAGGCACAAGTGGTTTGCCCCAGCCCCAGCCCCAGCGGGCACTGAGCTCTGGCACAGGGGAAGGGCTCTGGGGACAGCCAAGGGATGGGCAAGCCATGCCCCCCTCACCACCCCAGCTCACTCTCCTCCCCAAGGAAGGGCACTTTCCGCAGCACTCCAGCTGGAGCCAAGACCCCCCATCGTGAGGGACAGCCCCAGGAGCATCCCAAGCCAGCCGCGTCTGCGGGCAGGCAGGGCTGCATCAGGGGCAGGGCTGGATCAGACACTGCACAGCAGAGGGATGGGACAGAGCAGAACAGTGTGGACTCCCCTGGACCATCAGGTCAGTGGGGTCAGAGCATGAATGTGGGACAAAGGATGGGGCAGGGCTGTGGGGACAGGCCAGGAGAGTGGGGAAGGACCCCAGGCATGAATGTGGCAGGATGGTGGGGATAGGGACAGGCTGCAGGGCCAGATGGCCTCCCAGTATGGAGATGCCCATAGCAGGCTGTGCGTCCCTGCCAAAGGGTGAAGGCTGCCAAGCACGCTCCTGCCCATGGCCTCTGCTCTTCTGGCAGAGCCCATGCTCAGCCTCTGGGCCGCCAGCACCCAAATGCCACTGCTGCTGCTGACATGTCCCATCAGTGCCTGCCTGGCCTGTCACTACCCACCTGGCCATTGCTGCCCACCTGCCTGCTGGTTTCCACCTGTTGACTGGTGCCCACCACCCTGTCAGTGCCCAACAGCCCAGTGGCACCCATTAGCTCAACTGCCTGACTGTGCACATCATCCTGTCAAGAGCACTGTCCCAGGGCGCTTATGGCCCTACCAGGACCTACCTGCTTGCTGGCGCCCATTACCCCCACGGTGCCCACCTCCCCGACGGGTGCCCATCTGCCCACCTTTCCCAGTCCCACCTCCTTGAGTGATGCCCACTCATGCCCATCATCCCTACAGTGCCCAGCTGCCGCGCTGCCCGTCTTCCCCATCCGGTCTTCACAATAGGTGCCCTCTGCCCACGCTGCCCGTCTTCCCCACCCAGACTCCCAACAGATGCCACCTGCCTGCACTACCCATTTTCCTCACCCCGTCCCCGCGATGGGTGCCCCCGCCTGCGCTGCCCGTCTTCCCTGGCTGGTGCCCACCTGCCCCCCCCCCCTGCGCTGCCCGTCTTCCCTGGCTGGTGCCCCCCTGCCCGCTGGCTGCCGGGGGCGGCCACGACGCGGGGCGCGAGGGGCTGCACGCGCCCATCCTTGATCTCGATTGTGAAGTAGGTCTTCATGCCGTCGAGGCCGGGTCCGGGACCGGGGCGGGGGCCGGCGGGGACCGGGGCCGGACGCTGCTCTGCGCCTCC